GTGTTCGCACAGTCGGGCTCAAGCATGTTACTCAAATCGTACAGCAGTACAGATGCTCTGTCCACAACCAACAAGGAGGGGACTGCTGCTGCTGCTGTTGTCTAGAGTGCATTAGGCGGAGGAACCAGGCGCATATTGTATTTGTGTATGCAGCTGCATGCCGTCTCCTGGGCATGTCGTTGACAAGACGCGGTTGGTGACCACCGGCCATGCTCTCCAACCCTCGAAAAAAGTGCACCCGGCCGCTCTGCTGTCGTGCACAACAGCATATGTTCACATAGTGTTTCGTCAGTGTTGTCTGTAGGTACAGCATGATGTACACTTTCGGTTCAACTGCTGCTATGTACAACTGCAGCACCACCGTTGTGACGTCACATCGGATTGAACTGGCGTCCGAGATAACGCAGGAGAAGAGCGCTGCAGTCGGCGCGACATCGCAAAGCTAAACTGGCGGTCGTTCTGTTGGCTAGCGTGCGGCTCAATGCTCAGTCCTCCCGCCCGTGAGATGCCTCCACACGACGTACGGTACACGCAACCACATCACATCACTAATAATGACACCGCGATATCCCGTGTGTACATTCCTTGTTGCACTTGCTGGTGCAGGTACTGGCCTGCGTGACCATACTCGGCAGGGGCAATTGCTTTGCAAGCATCTACCAGATGTCGTGGATGAGCGCGAAGACCGTGCTGATGTTCCACAAGTTCTGCAAGCACTTCGCACGGGAAATGTACGATGAACACATCTACCTCCCGCCGGAACAGAGCGGCGAGCTGGACCACGTCATGGAGCGGTACGACCGGCTTGGGTTTTCGGGCACGATGGGCTCCATGGATGTAACTCATATCGGTTGGAGTAAGTGCCCCTACAACCTAGCCCGTTCCTACATAGGCAAAGAGGGGGTTCCTACGATCGGGTACTAGGTCACGGTTAATCACGCTGGCCGTGCAATTGCCGTGACCGAGGGCTTCACCGGCTCGACGAACGACAAGACCATCGTCTGCTGGGATGCCGCGGTCGAGAAGATTCGGACGGACAAGCAGTACACGGAGAAGGCCTTCGACGTGTACAACGAGGATGGCACGACGACAACGCTCAAGGGGTGCTACTTGCTAGTCGACAACGGGTACCACAAGGTGGATGGAAATGACATGTTATGATTTTGGGTGACCGACGGTAGTGTTTTTGAAGAGGTGTGTGTCCGGCCTGACAGAAAGAGAGAGAGGGAGAAAGAGAGAGAGAGAGAGAGAGCTGCCCAGTGAGGTATTTGTTGTCTCGGGAAATCAGAACCTCGGTTGCCCGCTCTTGAAGTTGACATGAGGTGTGTCATGGCTTTTGGTTTTTTGATAGGTCTTTCCATTTCACGCCCCTTCGACCTTGAAGACCCTGCCCCCCCCCCCTATTTCGCAGCATGTTAACAGCGTCGAATCGAAACGTCCGTCCCTCGGCCCTTCTCCCTTCCCGTTGTCGTTTTATTTTGGGAAAACGACACAACAGGGTATACCCTGGTCGAAAAGCGACACACCTGGGTACACAGTCATTAAAGCAGAAAATGCGCTCATTTGATTGGTCACCGCCTAATTTCACCCCGGTGTGTCGCTTTTCGACCAGGGTAAACCCTGCCGTGACCACTTTTCTCAAAAACTGTACCCTGTTTTCGGAAATGTACCCTGACCTGTCGGGAAATCAGACCCTTTCATCAATCATTTCCCCCGCAGGAATCTTCCCAACTCCTTTTCCCCTCCAACCATGGGATACCAAACGGCGACTCTTCCTGCCCAATAACAACCATGGCAACGGGGCAGGAATCAGTTTTCGCCCCTGCGAAACAACACTAACTATCAACTCTTCCGGTCTAAATCAACAATGGCCGCCGGGCAATACCCCAGCACAACTCTGTTCCGTTTTGAAACATGCACACACGGGTACGATACCCCGTGGACCACTGCTTGCTGCAGTGTATATGCGAGATGCACGGGTCACGCTATGAAAGCGAGACCGATCCTGCATGGTTGACATGCATATATATGGATATATTTGCCAATGTGTCGCGCTGCGCTGAGCGGGTGGAGGGGAGAGGCAGCACCAGCACACACAGACACGCCGTTGACATCAATCATGAAAGGAGGAGCGAGCGGCAGCGCAGGAGCGGCGACGGCGGGTTTGCCCACCACGGTAGCGCCCGTTACCGCAGGGCAGGTATTCTCCAGCCGCCATGCCGCGAAGGTCGCCGTAGCCGCTGAGCTTGCTGCCACCTGCCGTTCCATGAAGAATGGAAAGGGTGCCGGCAGTCGGCAAATTCACCTGGTTTGCAAGACTTG